GTGGATTTAAAAATGACAGGCTACAAGAATGATATGGAAAAAGATGCTGCACTGGACATACCAAAGAAACCAGCTGTCTTAATAATTGTAAGGGATATACAAATAACAAGCCAAGAGAGTGGCCTGGATAATTTTCCTATATTAGATTTATAAAAGAGACTTATTAAAGCTTTGAAAAAATTTGTGAGAAGGGACAAACAAAAAATGAAAAGAAATCAAGTTCTAGGATGTTATTTGAAGGGACTAAAGATCAAGATTGCTAAAGTAACAGGAAGGAATATAAAGTTGGTTTAGATCAAGGTTAAAATAGATATGTTGTTATCTCTGGTCACTTCTGGAGGTTGAGTCATGGCAACTGGACTTCCATGTCTCAACTTCCAGATAATTCCACCTGGATGACTGAGAATCTTCATCAACATATCTCTGGTAACCCTTAATGGACTTTTGCTGATCAGGACTGAATCTATGAGGTTTTAAGGGTTTGCTTATAGATAAGAGATGGGCCGTGGGAAGAAGAGGTCATTTGTTGTAGTTTAAGAGAAGGTGATAAGTTACTAAAATTGTTGATAATTGTGGTGGTGAAGGGAGAAGTCATTTATATATTTCTTTTCTTTTTCTTTACTATATTCATATTTTTTCTTTCTTTTCTATTTTTCTTTCTATTTTTTCTTTTCTGCGCTTTTCATTTTTCTTCTTACTCTTTTTTTTCCCATTTGTATTAGTTTTTATCTTTTTAATTGTAATGTTTAATAAAATTACTATAAAAAAAGAGTCACTTGATGGCTGGTAACAAATTTCATAAATAATCACACAAATAATAATACTTTTCCTAGGACCCTCGGTTCCCAGTCTAGGGGGGCCACAGGACACAGACCGAAAAATCAGGCTGGTGGCTGCATTGTGATGCGCATAAAAAAGGAACGGGACTTTGATCATGTAGTTGCAGCCACCATCTTGACTTTCTTGCCCCTCCTCCCATGCCCCTGCTTCCGCTTCAAATATATGATGGGGCTGAGTAAGTTTCCAGACTAGTTCTAACATTCTTCCCCTTGAGAAACATCCTCATAATACTTGGACTTGAATCTATATATAAATCTACGTATATACGTATAATCTGTAACTATATACTCTATATAAGTTTAATAAAATAAACATGTTTAATCTCAGAATCGAGGCTTCTCTCCTCTACCCCTTTGCCACTTGATACTTTACAATGACTTTTGTGTTCCCAATTGAGCATCCTTTCCCAACTTGTCTTAGAATCTAATGTATTAGAAAACACCTTGGATCCTCCTTGCATCGGCCAGGATGGCTCCATTTGCACTGCCAACTCTAAAATGCCACAAGGAGGCATAGGAGGATGTGGGCTCCCCATCCTCTCTCCATAACACACCCAGAAAGTTGTACACATCCACAACTACACAGCTCATTTTCTCTTGCCTTCCTCTAAATGTCTGTCTTCCTCCTCGTCACAGCTTCCCTTCGCAACGGGCCAGTATGCCCCTCGGTGTGAATTATTGCCAAGGGCAGAATGTCAGTTGATCCCAAGCCAATTGTGTCAATTTGCACAAGCCTGGAAATCAGATGGGACGGAGCTGGTGTAAACTGGGAGCAAATGAATACGTAGTCTTGCTACACAAAACCCCTTGCCTTAGATGCTGGACTGGACCTTGATCACACTGTCACTTGTTTTTAACTCCTGGATTTTAACTGTCTTTTCATTTTGCGAGGCCTAGGACAACTCCTTACATAAAGTGCGATCTACTTAATCCCCCAAGCAGTCCCCCCAACCCAAAATGAAAGCTAAAATAATAACTGCCTTTTAAAAACTTATTAAAATCGCACTGTTTTGCAAGATGGGGATGACAGCATGTAATATCAGCCCACGCATAAGTGTGCCATCAGCTTGAAGCAGAATACCCCAATGTTGGGGGAGAGCTTGGAGTCCTTAAAGATCTTGAAGTGTGCCAAAAATCTCATGAGAATTTGTGCGGTTGCTGGTTTCATTTTGTACTTTTAGCCCCTGGGCCTTGTCCAGTGGAGCTCTTTCTATATCTAGAGAAAGAATCGTTACGTTTAGGATGGAAAAAACTAACAGCAACTTCCATTAGCTCTTCTAGGATTCATGATGGAGCCCGGGCAACAGGCAAGATGGTCCCTGTGAGATCCTTGTGTCCACGGGGGCATTTCTAGGTTTCCCAAGCCAAATTTCATCTGTCACGCTCAGTGCTTTTCACGCCCTTTAGTCTGCACTTTCCAGCTTGTTGGATTGCAATTAAGGATGGTGAAGCAAAGTCTCTCATTCCCCCCAGCCCAAAATTGCTTTCATAAGATTGCTGAATGAATCAAGAGAAAAACAAAATCAAAACTACAGAATGTTTAAAAGCATCGTGAAAGAATCATGCACACAAACAAGGGGAAGAAAAAAACAAGGAATATGACATCTAAGTTAAAAGCACTGTTTATTGGTGTGATGTTAACCATTATGCAATATTATACTTATTTTTAAAGAAGTACATAATCATTGATAATGAAATAGTGTTTCTGCTAGTAACAAAATTACTAACCTTTTTTGACTAATGCTATAACTTTATGATGCTCAAAGACAAGGGGGGGGGGTTGCCTTTGCAGCCGCACTAGGAAAACACCATTAGCTCAAAGCGAGAGGGACACGTATGCAGGAAACCCTGAGGGTCTCCAGGAAAGGGACTACAGCCAAACTGGTTCAAACTGCAGTTCAAACTGCCTTGTCCCTGTAAACTATAAAAACTGAGCTTGTATTTCTGGTGGTGTGGCAAAACCCTGGCATATTTGCTGCCTATGCTTTGGGTTATTGACCCCCGAGCTCCCTTTACTCGGCCGAATAAAAAGCTGTTTCTTCCTAAGAACCTCCTCCTGAATTCTTGGCATTGGATTTCTCTGGGATTCAGGGTTGCAAACCTTACAACACCCTCTCCCCAAATTGAACTAAGCTGAACAGTTTATAAAAGTTTGTAAATGGTGGCTATATTTAGTTGCTTATTTGTTTAATACTTGACAGCCAGTTTGAACTAGTGGTTAAGGCTTCAGGATAGAAACCAGGAGACTCTGCATTCTAGTCGGGCATGAAAACTGGCTGGGCGACCTTGGGCCAGTCATTCTCAGCTCCTGATGTCAGGCTCGGGTGACAAACCGGTCGGTCAGTTAAGCCGCTCAGTCAATTACTGTCTCAACCAACAGATCAATGTTCGGTTGACCTGGAAAAAAAGCAGATCCTGCACATGTGGGAGAAACGCTAGGAAGAAAAAAAATTGGTATAATTGCAGTAATGCTGATGTTTTAATATATCTGCTGGTAATGAATTGAACTTTAAAAATGGCCCATGAAATTTTTACTTTTCCTCTAGAGGTGGAGGAGACAGGGACCCAAGGGGAGTCATTGCTAGGCAATGAAGAAATTGGTTTATCCTGATTCAACTCAGTCGGGGTTTTATTCTCCATCTCCTGTGGCATACATTCAGACCTTTTCTGCGATGGCCACAACGATCATATCCGAGGGCAACTATTGAAAAGTTCTATCTATGATTGAGATGGATGGAAGGAGAGGTGGATAAACAGTAAAAGTTGTTAGGGATGATGATGATGATGATGATGATGATGATGATGATGATGATGATGATAGTAATATCTTCAACTTGTATGCTGCCAAACTCTCAATGACTGTGGGCAGTTACCATTCTGTGAAGATTTCTCCTCTAATTGGGGATGGCAACATCTGAACCTGGCAGATATCCTGCACACAGAGCAAGTATTGCCCCACTGAACGGCAGCCTCTCTTGTTTAAGACCTCCCCACCCTGAGTTTAGTGGGGCCTATCATTGGTAAATAAAACTGGGTGTACGCAGTACACTACACCGTAATGTGGTTGGCTTACTTTTCACTTAACTCTTTTTTGTGAGTCTAGTGTTGTTTGTAACCATGGTTTTTCTTTAGCTAGGTGTTGTACTGAAGAACGGTTGTTTGCATTTGCTTTGTTTCTCCGCAGCTTTGTCCCCAATTTCCTCTTTTCCTTTTGTGCCAAGCCTTTTGAAGGGCAAGGCTGAAGGTAAGGAGGTCCTGGCTTTTATTGCTCAGTTAGGAACTCTGCAAGCTTGTAGGAGGAAACCTGAAATGGTCCAAAGGTCCCCCAGGAGCCTATTAAATCCAGGTATTGCAGACATCCTTTCTCTAACGTCCAATTTTTTTTCTTCATGCCAACTTCCCCTCCCATTTAGAGAGATTGAGTCATCTAACATTGAGCAATCCTATAGAAATCAGCAGCAGATCCTGTTATCTCTTCCTCCTCATTACATCATGAGCATCGTATGGCATTAGGTGTTTGCAAAACCTGGAGCTGGAACTGCGAGGGAGACAAGAGGTTTATAAAAGCGCAACTAGAGGAGATGAGGACCAGAACTACTTTGCTTGGGTTGTTCTAGACTCAGGCTAGCTGGCAAGGAAATATGGAAGCACTGAATCCACATAGTGTCCTGGTGACTGGGTCTAATCGAGGCATTGGCTTGGAGCTGGTCAAACAGCTGGCGAGGAAAAGCAACCCACCAGAATGGATCTTTGCAACCTGCCGGGATCCAGAGGGACCACATGCTCAGGTAAGCCATAGGGTGGAATCTGTTACAAGACAGCAATTCACTTGCAATGTTAAAAGAGTGTTTATCATTTAAATCAATGACTAGCAGTACATGGAGAACCCCAAATACTGGCATAACTCTTGGGATTCATATTTTAACAAATGAGTTTCATTGCCTTGAATAGGAAGGACTGATCTGTCCAGTTAGTCCCAAGATTAAACCTGAATTTGGATGTGTCTAGGGGCTCAAGAAAATTGGAAATGGATATCAGACATTAAGGTTCTTTTTGGGTTTCAAATTATTACATACGTTAATACAACTTTGGGGAAAAACGTCATTGTTGAGTATTGACTGTACCCCACCCTCCTTATGCTGGTCTCTCACCATAATAAAGATTTGATGATGATAGTTGTTGAAGATGTAAATATAATGTTGAACTGCAATAAAAAAAAAAAGAGGCATTTGTCATTTGATGAAGAACTCTAGCTCTATTGAAGACCCAGAGATCAACTAAGAGAATCATTCTACATAAGTGGAAAAAAAAATCTACATGTCAAAGAACAGATTCAAGAGATATGTTCTCTGCCTTTTTTAAAAATGTTTTTATATTGTAGAAATATGATGAGGGAATAGGATGTGTCTATCTGGTGTAGACTTCATAATATGTTAAATGATTGAGCTAGTAATATATGAATATTGCATGGATCTTTCCCTTTTTAAAAAAATCTTACCTTTTTTTTCTCCCACAATTATATATACTTTTTAATGTGTTTTTTTTACTTTTTTTTACTTTTTTTCCTTTACTTTGTTTTTAATCTTCATTAAATTTCCCTCCTGCTTCATCCATTCCACTGACCCATCAGCCAAACTATTTTTGGACCCAGGTTTACCAGTCTTCCAGAAGACCAATATACCCACACTTGGAAATAATTCACATAACAGGTCACTGGTCCAGTGGGGAGGTTATAAGGAGCATTGGGGTTACTCCGTTTTGCTTCACCCCATACCCTTTCATTGCACCTGTAACCTATTATTCAGGCTAGAGGGGGAAAGTGGCAAAACCCTTCCCCAAAAATGGCTAAAACGAATGCTCTATTGCTCTTTTAAAAGAGCGAGACTTGGCATGCACTTCAAAAATGCCAATCAGGCATTACATGGCAGACTCCTCTGCAGAAGCCAAGTGTTTGATCCCATCTGCAATCCAACACAAGATCGCTGTGAGGGATAGCGCCAAGCCACTGATAAGACAGGGGCACACACTGCAGCATTAAGGGGATAACAGGAACTGGGTAAATCCTTTCCCAAGGCCATGTCATCATCATCATTGTTAATGAGGTATTGTAGATTGTAAATATAGCAAGACTTGAGTTGGGGAAAAGGGAGAACACTAATTCAAAACTGGGACAGCTAAAAACAAATTGAGACTGCCTCTGCAGCAAGCTGAGGATGAGTGAGGCTGTGGCCTTTAAAAATGGTTAGCGAGATATCTGAATGCCAAGGTTAGTGGGATGTGAGAATAAGCCCATTAGCTGCATGACTTCCTAAATCTCTGGTTTTGTACCTTTCAGGATTTGAAGAATTTGGCTGCTAAATACAAGGAAATTGTGATCATCCCACTGAGTAGGTGACGGGTCCTGACAGTATCATGGGAAAGAAGGCGTTGCCCTATCAATACCCAGGCGAACCTCATTTCTACCACTGAGTTCAATTTCCACAGATGGATTTTGTACATTTGTTTGAACTGGTAGGAATGAAGCATTTCAGCCTGGAAACTGAATAATAAAAAGCTAAAAGATATAAAATAGAAAGTATATATCTAAAAGGGATCTAAAGGAAAAATTATGAAAAGCTAGAAAATATAAAAAATATATGTATTAAAACAGAAAGTATATATTAAAAACAGTCTAAAAGAATCTAAAAGGAGGGGTAGGAGCATTAGATGGGTATAGGGGGCATAAAGGTTAGTATCTGTCAAATTACAGAGCAGTCTAGTGTGATGAACTAGATGCTCGTTTAGATTAGTTTATGGCACAGATCATCATCTGACAAATTTTAATTGCTACTGTGCAGAATCTGGCAACGTTATATGTTATAGCAGGGTTGGTATCTGAAAGCAGCAGGGAAGTGTAGAATTGTCCTGTGCCCCCTGAATATTTATGCAGTCATGGTGAGATGAGGCTAGTATAAATGTCTCTGTAATGCAGGCACTGGAGAAGCATGTGCTCTGTTGTTTCCATGTGTCCAGGGTCAGAGGGGCATTGTCTCTCTGAGTAAGGGATCTTCCCATATCGGCCTTCAAGGACAGCTGAGGGTAGCACATGGCATCGTGCCAGAATAAAGGCCCTCCATTGTTTAGGCACTTCAAGTTTAGTTAAGTATGCCATAGACGAGGCAGAGTACCTGTTGGATTCACTGGCAATAAAGGTTGAGGACCTGGCTAGATCCAGATGGCACTCTGTGTCTGCTACATGCTATTTAATGAGTGCTTTGGCCTGGTCATATCCCATGCTGAGTAGAAGACCTGGAGACAAGCCCAAGGATGAGATTTTAGTTGCTACTGCCTGTTTCCATGTGGAGTGAAAATCATCCCCCGTAGTTAATGGGGCAAGGCCAAGAGGAAAAAAGGAGAGTCTGAGCCAATAGTTGAGTATAGTCACCCACATTCTAGCCTCCACTTTCATGAGGCCTGTCTCTAGTGTCAGGATGGCATTAGAGACACATTTTGGGACTTGAAGGGCTGATCTTAGAAATTTAGATTGTACAAGTTCTAATGGTGCAAAATTGGAGAA